TTTTATCCTTCGCTATTTTAAATTCCACACAATGCCTTGTAGATTGCTCAAATTCTCAACGGCCCAATGTATAACACAACTCCGCGCACTTGCGGCAGTCACGTCTCACTCGATACGCGTATATAAATCTTTAATATTTGATCGATCCTCGAATCGTGAGTTTGGGACACCTGTGCTAAAAACCCAATGCAAATGGTAGGAACTGGTTGGAAACAAATGATCGAACGGCCGCTAGAGTATCATAAATTACAATATTTAGAGGGGAAGCCACTTCAGCCTTAGCTAGTTTTCACGCGGTTCCTCTATTCACGTCGAATTAGAATTTAGAAATGTTGATTTTTCAGGAGGGAGGAAAACCGAAGTACTACGAGAAAAACCCAGTGAGCAAGGCGAGAACCAACAACAAACTCAGCCCACATAAATGATACCGAGCTGGAATCGAACCCGGACTAGTTTAGTGGGAGGCGAGTGCTCTCACCACAGCGCCACACATGCCTCCCTGCTCCCTATTTCTCTTTTATACCACCTGATTCTTTCCTACTTCTTCACGCTTTATGCCATCGGTTTGCGCACAAGAGCGGAGGGTAAGAGATAGGAGTCAACGAATAGTGCCGCATCCCATCTCACGGGAACGTAGAATGCTTTCTTACCTAATATCAAATCGGAAACAGCGAGGCTGAGATAGTAGAAGTAGGTCGGAGAGTGAAGTTTTTCCTTGATGGTCACATTAATAAGAACCATGGTGTTAGCGAGAACTGTTCCACAACAAGATACCAACAGCACCGTTACCTCGGCGATCATCTCTGGCAAACTTGCTTCACTTGAATGCTCCATCTTAAACTGTCTAAACTAAAATGAAAATGTTTACAATTTAGAAAGATCTGGATGTGGGCGAAAAAACTGGAACTGGATCGGCGGTTTTCGAATCATTTCCGAGACAAAAGGTGGGCCATTCTTACCGGAAAGTTTGACTGTTTGTCAGTGGCCATTTGGGCTATTAAATACAACTTTTCGCGGTTTATCATCGTCTAAAACTGGCGCAAACAATTATGCCCGATCTTGTGTACGTAACTCAGTCGATGCTGTCGAAGTTTGCAGCCCATTAAATCAAGGGCTATGGTTAAAGACTCCGTAGTTTCTGCTCTGTAGTCAGATCACTAAAATATTAAAATCCCGCAGAATCTGATTCGAATTAAATTTAAAATAAAACTGGGCCATGAAAGAAAAACTGAATGTTATTACTGCGTCATCATTTTGAATCTAAAAGATCTGGTAGTTTTTCTATTTTGCTTACCTCTATTATGATATACGTCTATGTTTAAAACAAAAGATCTAGAGAGTTAGGTTGTTAAACAATTTTGAAGATTAAAGCGACAATATACCTGATGAAGGTAGTGTTGAGAGATCGATTGATCGATCGCTTTTCTTGAGATTCTTACCCTAGACCGGCTGATGCACAGTCAACGCATATTTACGTTTACTTATGCGCGCAGCAATTAAGCTGAACTGTGCGTTCTAGTTTTATAATTGAAAAAGTCAATCAAGTTCTACCAGCGAAATCAATCAATGTCACCTTACTCCAGCCAAAATCGTCAATTAACTGAAGTCATTCTGTTCATAATCACGCGTTGTTTAGATTAGATCAGGACGTTTCGCAGATATATAAAGTCAATATATTTTACGTCGATGATAAAAATCAGCTCAACGATAACTGAAGAATAAGAGCATTCAATAGAATCCGGTCAGGATCGAAATGCTGTACATATGAACGTAACGCAAGACCTACATCTATGAAATCACTCCAGGCTCCTGATTGGTCGAGAGCTTCGTCTAGCTCCACTGTCTCACCTCAATGCAAATAACTGCTTTTGAATAACTTCTGATTAAAAGAAACTGCAGTTCAAAGACAATAAGTGATCTACATGCCGCAGTGATATCAATTATCGATTCATGTTTACTATTGGCGAAATAAAAACGAGTGAAGGTGGCTTTAAATCTAGCAACTGATACGCGGACGAAATTTCAACTACACAGCTAAATAACAGAAAAATTGTCAAATTTTAGTAATAGACCATTTATATTTCTTGCTTTTCATTGGACTTGAAATCTTACCTGACTGACAAACGGCTATAAATCAAGAAAGCTGTAATTATCTTTTTCACCTGCAAACTGGCAACTGAAATTTGTGATGGCATAGGGGTTCAGATAACGACCAAATGCGCACGTACGCACGTGCACGGAAATACAGAAAAAATATACGGATATTTGAATAAATTTTGGTCTAATTAAAAAGAGTCTTTAATCATTAAACCAGCTGGTTTGAGAGTCACTAGTCTCTACTATAAATTATTTGCCAAACATTAGTTACCAAACTGACGTTTTCAAGGTTTGCCATGTTTTATTTATGAAACTGCACCCGATAAACTTTTTCTTTGTGGCGTGGTCAAATATTTATTGCAGATGTACAACTGACCACCATACCACAGTTATTTATTGCTTCATCCTAAAGTAGACTAAAGGACCAAAAACGCCAAAAACTGTGCAAATAACGGTGAATTAAACGTTACTCGACTGTGATCGATGTACTCTTCATCTTGTCTCTAAACGGGCTTTTAATATATTTAAAATTGATTCATTTATAAAACCTATACATTATGTCCACAGGAAACGTTTTTGATCCCAGCGAAGAATAATTCAGTTCGCTTTATATCATGTACTACCGTCCTAACAATTTTGATAATGTCAATCACTATGCAGCGAAAACGTTACTTTTATTAGCGTGGCTTAAAAATTCATAACAGCATAAGCTACGTAGGGCCGACTGAAAGTCTACAAAGCCATA